CACCATGCATGAAATTTTCAACCAATTTCAATGCACGGTACGTAGCGACTACGTTGGACACCGGCAAACGAAGCTAATGACAAAGTTTACTGAATAATATATAACCGGTGTTTATAAATAAAGATAATAATATCAAATCATAATCATACTTAAATAAATATAAAGTTAAAAAAAATGAAACAAATGATAAATTCATATTTAACATTTAAACTTTCATATTTAATTATATTTATGACACTTTAATGTGATAAATATATACATGCAACATATGTATCTTATTTTTAAAAAGCACGTAATGGTTAGCGTTGTCAAAAAAATTCGTCATTTGTGAACAATTCGTGTTAGACTAGTTAAATAGCTCATATTTGATTCATTAATTAAGCAAGCAAGTCAAACTCAAATAATTTTTTTTGAGCTCAAGTTATAAACCAGCTGAACGCAAATCAATGTATGTTCATTCGTGTTTAGCTCGTTTTTTACTAGAAATAATTTAATAATAATTTTTATTTTTATTTTTTTATAACTTTTAATATGTTTTTAAAAAACATTGAATTTAGTTATTTTAAAAAAAAATATTTGGGTGGTATTTATAAAAATATAATTCTAGGTGTTAGGTATGTAAATACATAGGATTTGGTTGGTATGTATGTAAATGTCCCTAAAATAATTAATACAACCCCATATTTCCTGAATTAAATGTTAGATATGTAAATAAATAAGATTTAGGTGGTATATGTGTACCTTTGGTCCCACATCGAGAAGGAGAGTAACATGGTTGCCATAATACATATTTAAATCAGAAACTAAACGATAAGTAAAAAACAAATTATTTATTTAATTAAATAATAACAATTTGATTAATTAAATCCTTAAAGTTTGTCTTCATGAAAGACAAAACAAGCTTGAGTAGACACGAGCTTAATTCATGTTAACACGAACAAATTCTATGCTCGCTCATATCAAACTCAGCTCATTTACACACATACATTAAGAGTTTAAATGCTAAATATGTAAATATATAATTGAATTGTCAGATATGTAAATACATAAAAATTATGTAGGATGTAATTAATAATAAAAAATAATTGAATTGTCAGATATGTAAATACATAAAAGTAATAATAAAAAATAAATTTACATAGAAAAAGATATGTAAATACATAAAAATTATGTAGGATGTAAATAATAATAAAAAATAAATTTACATAGAAAATACAATTTTGGTCGCATGGCCAGACCCCCCAAAAAGATAAGATGGTTAATTGAGTTCAGATAGGGTTAAGATGGTTGCGCAGAGGCGCAGGAGAATCAGTCCGCCTCCTCGCCGATCCTCCCTCTAACTGATTATATATCCCAAAATAACTGCAGTTGGCATCGAGCCATTAGCAGAAAGGTTGGATGAGGAAGCAGATACTGATCTATTATAACCCTAACCGTCTCCATCCGAAGGGCCTGTCGATCAAAATAGTACAGCATTAACCGTGCTAAAATCGAACTTTCACTCACAGATACGTCGTCGGCTCTCCATCTATCTCTTCCTGTGGTCCTCCCAAGAATCTAGCGTTCGCAAAGTGCTCTTCTCAAAACCCTAATTCTGTTCTCTCTTTTTCGCTGTTGCCAGTCCTCATTTCATTGAGGATAATGACGGAAGGGGATGTTCCGCTCTGGCTGAAGAATCTCCCCATGGCGCCGGAGTACCGGCCCACTGAGACCGAGTTCGCTGATCCCATTGCGTTCATCTCCCGCATCGAACGCGAGGCCGCCGCTTTCGGGATTTGCAAGGTCATACCGCCGCTCCCGAAACCGTCCAAGAGGTTCGTACTCTCTAATCTTAACCGCTCCCTTTCCAAGTCTCCTGAACTCGGCGACGCTGCCGCTGGGACTGCGGGTCCTTCGCCAGAGTCTGCTGTCTTCACTACTAGGCACCAGGAGCTCGGGTCCAGACGTGCCCGACCCGCTGCCCTCCCCAAGCAAGTATGGCAGAGTGGGGATGTTTATACACTGGAGCAATTTGAGGGCAAATCCAAGGCCTTTGCCCGCTCGCACCTTGGTGGCTTCAAGGAGGTGACCCCCTTGCTAGTGGAATCGCTTTTCTGGAAGGCGGTGATGGAGAAGCCCATCAACATTGAGTACGCTAACGATGTCCCGGGTTCTGGCTTTGCTGTGCCAGAGGAGCCTTTTCGGTATATCTCTTGGCGGAGGAATCGGAAGCGAGGATTGCTTAAGGGGAAAGCGAATGAAGAGAAATGTGGATTCAGGTTGACGAGTTCCAGCGATAATGGACAGCCAAAGAGAAGTTGGGGATCGTGTGGCGACAAGGAGGGATGGAAGGGGACTTCTGGGTGGAAGCTATCAAACAGCCGCTGGAACTTGCAGGTAATTGCTCGTTCCCCGGGATCCTTGACACGCTTTATGCCGGATGATGTGCCGGGAGTTACGTCTCCCATGGTTTATATTGGCATGCTCTTCAGTTGGTTTGCTTGGCATGTGGAGGATCATGAGTTACATAGCATGAATTACCTTCACATGGGCTCCCCAAAGACATGGTATGCCGTTCCTCAGGATCATGCGGCCACTCTGGAGGAGATTGTTAGGTGCCATGGTTATGGCGGCAGTGTTGATAGGCTAGGTAATGAGCTTGTTCAAAATGGGTTTTTGAAGGGAAATTTACACATGTAGCACCCAATTCTTATGTTTCTACATATCTAATACCTAAGTTTTCATAATTACATACATTTGTTTTGAACATATGCATCAAAAGGTGTATATCACTTTTAAAAAGTGGTAACAGTGTCATTTTTTATGTGATATTAAAAATTTGAGTGATATGTGTATAAATATGAAATTTTAGGTTTGAGATATGTAAATACGGAAGAATTATGTGCTATGCATGTAAATGCACCTTCTTAGAAATATATTTAATGTATACTGGTAATGAACCTTACTTGTTTCAGCTGCTTTTATCATGCTGGGTGAGAAGACAACCCTTTTGTCTCCCGAAGTCCTTGTAGCCTCGGGTGTTCCCTGTTGCAGGTGATTTGTTGCATGAAGAATATTTACTTTGAATTTTTTTTTATCAAGTTTTAGCATTGAGAGGCCATTTTATGTTGAATCTATTCTTCTTGTTTTAGAAGTTAATTTATGGGAAATTTACATACATAGCATGCAATTCTTTTGTATTTACATATCGGACACCTAAACTTTCATATTTACATCTATATAGAACTTTGATGCTTTAAAGATATGCATGAAAAGGTGTATTTCACTTTTGATGTGATATCAAAGATTTAAGTGCTATGTTTGTGGATATGAAAATTTAGGTGTGAGATATGTAAATACATAGGAATTGTATGCTATGTCTGTAAATGCTCCTTTATTCATTTACAACACAATAACTTGCTCTGGTCTTCTCTTCAGATTAGTTCAACATCCGGGTGAATTTGTTGTGACCTTTCCACGGGCCTATCATGTAGGATTCAGCCATGGTATCTCTCTTCAAGAGCATTCATTGTTTTTATACTTGTGAGACTGATAATGTTGCTGTTTATGCTCTATATTGCATTTGACATAGTATGTTAAACTTACTATTTCCTGTTAAATCTTTATGAATTTCGAAAAGAAAATGAGGAGAATTAACTGTTGGGGCATTTGCATACATGCCAACTAATTCTTTTGTATTTCACATCTAACACCTAAACTTTACTTTATACATTTATACCACCGAAAATTTTCATATCACACACCATTTTAGCTTTTAAAAAGTGAAATACTTCTCAAAATGCATTAGTAATATAGCATGTATGTAAAAATTGAAGATTAGGTGTTAGATATGAAAATAGATAACAATTGAATGTTATCTATTTAAATTTTCCTTAACTAATTAGTTAGGCTACTGGATTTCATATTATTAGAGAGTAGCTTATTTACTTACCATACATGAAAATAATTTGACTAGATATGTTGGAGAACTTGTTGGATGGAAAGTTTAAGCCAATTGTTCAACATAAGATATTTCTGTGCATGAGATTGCATGTATGGATATAAGTATTTTGACAGTGCTAGTAATTCCTATGGCAATAAACTGTCATTTTCTATTTAGCCAGGTACCCCTACATAAAGATTGGTTACAAGCAGATGAAAAATCATAATTTAAAGAATGTTATGATAGTCATAACTTTAGTAGAATGATCTGTAATATTGTTCAATTAAGTATTCTTGCCTTTATGAGTGGATTTTCTTCTTGTTTTGAGCTTTTCCCTTCCCCTGTTTACTCGTTTTATATACTGAGCTTCTTGCTTCTATGATAAGTATATTGCAAGATAACAGTCCCTTGTCAGTTGATGGCCCAAAATGCATATTTAGTCCTATTTCCCATTAGTTAAGGAGGGTTGTCATTGATGTGTCTTAGACTTTTATTTAATTTTTATTTTTATTTTATTTTTATGTGCATGCCATGCTAATTAGGGCTTGTTTCCCACAGAGCTTACTTTTCACATCCATTTTTATTAACATTAAATGCATTAGAAGAACAACCCTCATCTTCAAATCCATATGAGATTGGAAAAAAAAAATCATCAACAGAAACCCTATGTAAGAATTGCAATTTTCTTATCATGAAGAAACCTCGGAAGGAAATGAGCTTTATGATGGTTAACTTTATACTAACATTCATGATGGCCAACTTTTTTATAAAATGAAATAGCTTCAGCCCATTTACTCAAACTATTTAACATGTTTCATTAAATTGATCTTTTAGCTCTCGTCAATACAATTTTTTTTAAGGGAGTTGAAATTTTAAGGACAAATTTGGTTAGTAATTTAGAAAGTAGTATGGTTATGCATATTTGGAATATACTTTATATAAATTGAATGCTCGAAAGGGCTATCATCTCTGTTCATCTAATTTTGTTGAGGTTACTATCAACTTTATCGTCATCGTTAACCATTACTTTAGTTCTTTAAGTTTACTTATGAATCAGGCTTCGCTAGTTTTTCTATATCATAGGCACTGTACTTTTTTTTTGAAATAAATTTGATGGCCTTGCTTTTATAGTACTTTCCTCTTTACTATCATGTTATATTATACAATATTATCTCTTTGCATATTCTTTACTGTGGAAGCTGGTTTCAGGCCATTTATTTTAATATGAATTTGTTTCCTTAATCTCCAAATTCGATGATTCGGCTCTTATATTCAATCGAAAGTACCATTAGGGCCTTTGTTTCTAATCACTCTATTATTCTTCATTGTGGAGGTTGTTTTCATGCCATTTATTTTAATTTTTCTGTAATTTATATTGCTGATATCCAAATTGGATGATTTTGTTCTTATATTTTAATAAAACTACTATGAAGTTTCTCTTTCTTGGATTCTCTTCTCTTCTTAATACCATATTCAACAATTGGTTGTATTGGTGATGATGGCTGCTAGACATCTTTTCTTTCTATTCCTTCTTTATGGGGTGATGATGGCTGTTAGAAATCTCCTCTTCCCTTTCTATTTCCTCTTTATCTTATTGATTTAGCAAGTAGTGGCTCCTCCTCATTCTTGCCTAATGGTGACCAAAGCACAGGTGGAAGCTTGTATGGGGGGAATGGGAATAGTTCACAACAAATTTCATAGGTTTGTCGAGGCGATGAAGTGAGAAATAAAAAATCTGTATGAAAGGCAGAGAGTAGGCAAGAGAAAAGATCAAATTGCTCTAAATCTTTTTTAGAAGAGAGAAGTTTGCAAATTACTATATTCTTTGAACTATCTTTTTATTGGAAGTATATATGTGCACTTATATAGACAAAGAATATCTTTAGCAATAAAAAAATATTGCGATACTAAATTGTGCATATTCTTATTATAATTTATTTAGGTCATCTGATAATTTAAATATGTTTGTAAGATCCATCTACATTGGGTTTTGTTTCTTTTGTTTAGATTTGTGTTTTTTCATGTTTTCTACATTTATGAGTGTACTGTTTGTTCTGATTGGCAAGCCAAAATAGAGAGAATATTCATGTTGTCTACATTAGTAAATGTACTGTTCGTTCTGATTGGCTAGCCAAAATAGAGAAAGGATCTTCTTTATGTTTATTGTGCTATGTTTCTATTAGTTGCTCTAGTTTTCCTTTTATGTTTGATACTTTGATTTCCATTTTTTATTTGTTTATATTGCGTAGCTTTGCATGTTATTGTTGAAGAAGCTGATTTCACATTCGTCTTGGTTCTGTTTTGTTTCCTTTTTCAAATAACCCTTGCTGTGCGATCATATCATTTTTAGTTATTATACTATTCATTATAGGCGCATTCACATAGATACCATCCCAATCCTAAAGTATTTACATATCTAACTCCTAAACTTTACTCTTTACATTTAGACGATCCAAAATTTTTATATCTCATATATGTACCACTAGCATAACTTCTAAAAAGTGAAATACATCTTTCATACATGCATAAGGTGGTATGTATGTAAAAATAAAGTTTATGTGTTAGATATGTAAATATATAAGAATTGAGGCGCATGTATGGAAATCTTCCATCATTCTAATTGGCTAGTCAAGAAAGAGAAAAAAATCAGTTACACAGACACAAACACATATATGTAATCCCGTGTCTTTTTGCTTCCTTTCTGTTAGCTGCTCTGCATTATATTGGGTTCCTATTTTATGCCGTAATTTTTATTCCATGATAGCATAAAAGCATAATTTTTACTGTTTAATGGTTTTGAACTTTTATGTTGGCACTTCATGTATTCATTCATTTTCATGTGGCATCAATTTTTTCTTGCTTTATTTTTTTTTTCTGTATTGATTTGGATCTGTGGATACTCAGGATTTAATTGTGGGGAGGCTGCTAATTTTGCGACTCCTGAATGGTTAAAGGTGGCTAAAGAAGCAGCAATAAGAAGGGCAGCCATGAATCATCTTCCAATGCTATCTCATCAACAGCTTCTGTACATTTTGACAATGTCGTTTGTCTCACGGTTAGTCTCCAAGTGCATCCTCTGTTGCTACTAGTTATGCAAATCAATGACTTCTGTGTCCTTTTTTCTCTTCAGTACACTTGTTTCTAATTATTTCATTGGATTTGTGAAAAATATTAAACTTTCTTCTTGACAAGGTTGTGTTTTTTCATGATCTTAGGGCGTATAAGTAGTTCTTGGTGCACACGACAGCATTTTAAAATAGCTGTTAATGAATCATGCATACAATGTGGTTTTGAGTTGTGCACTCTGAAGGCTTTTTCAGGATTCAGGAATGAGGAAAATATAACAAACAAATGCTAGCAAAACTTCATAGGATTATAATGCTATAAAAAGCATGACCATGGTTTGGAAATGTAAATATGTATGTTGAATAGTGTCTTCTTTCTATTGCCTCTCTGTAAGTAAATGTTTGCGAGGTTCCTAGTATTCATAGTCTTGCTTTTGGATAATAACAACTCACAAACCCCAAATGAAATTGGCTTTTTTCAGTTCACGACTTCATTTTCTGATTATTTCTGATCTCCTAACATTTACTGGTTACATATACTTGTTTTTTTTTTAATGGACTCAATAACAACAAATTTTATTTTGCAGTTAAATCCATTTAAATGGATGAGTAATCTGTAAATTTAAGTAAATTTGTGAAAGATATTTAAGGTTCTAAGTTGTATATTCAATTGTTTGTGGCTATATTCCATGGTCCGGGCCTTGGCTTTTGTTAGTAAATCAATATTTTCAATAAGATGCCATTTTCAGGATGTTATATAACTTTAACGTGGGTTCTAATTGACACGATGGTTTATCTTTATGCTGCTGCTTGACATGAGACCTGTAAACAACCTTTCTTGTTCCTTTTTGTTTTTTTCATGATAACTCGTGGTATTATTGATGCTATAACATTGTTTGATAAAAACCCAAGTGAAGGAATGCATCATTATTTTTCTGTTCTAATTGTTACATTATTTAGCTATTTTTCTAGCAAGATTTGTATTGTAAATACGCTTCATCAATGATGTGGCACTAAATGATAATTTATAAATAAGGAGAAGAACCTGTCATTAGGAAGATGAAAGAGAGTATTTGATATGAATTCATCTCTTTTTATGATAGGTTTGATTGGTTCAAACCCAGGCATACTTTGGTTTTGAAAATGATGTCTTATAAGACAAGCAGAAACTTACATTAGTTTCTTTATTCGATGAAATTTCAACTGTAAATTTGCTGGTGTCTGAATTGTCACTTCATTTTCATTCTTGAGCACATTAATGGTTTATTCCAGGCATATTTTTTGTGCCTTCTTTTGACATTTAATTTTTATATTGCTGACAATGTTGAAATATGTGATATTTGGACATTATTGCTGAAATTGTCACGCCTTAGTAGTCTGACTGTAGTTGTTAAAGTCCTGTATTCACTTTCTCAAACTGATGTTTATCATCTTCAGTTCATTGAAAGTTGGAATGTTTGATTGAGTTACGTTTTGTAATTAATTAGTTTGCTTAAAACTACATAAAATATCTGTATCAATTCATTGAATATTTGTTACTGTACTTTTGCATGCATGTGGAATTTCTAGATTTCTTTAGTGGCATCATTCTTCTTGTGTTTTGGTACTTTTGGACAATAGTTTCTCTCTTTCTGGTGTCCAAACATTAATGGAGTGGGCACCTAATCCTTGTTCTTTCTCCAGTTTGAATCTGGTAGAATTATTTTCATGCCAGAATTCCTAGGACATTAATCTCAGGTGTACGGAGTTCACGTTTGAAAGACCGTAAGAAAGAAGAAAGAGAAATTCTTGTCAAGAAGGCATTTTTGACTGATATGATGAGTGAAAACTATCTGTTGTGTGTTCTCCTTGAGAAAAAATCTATTTCTCCAATTCTGTGGGAACCTTATATGTTACCCGCCTCATGTGCTGTTTCCCAGTGTTGTCCTTCCATATCGCTCAAGGCACAGACCTTTGATAATCAAAATGGATGCTGCATCTACAATCAACAGAAAGAAATCAGTACCCATGAAGAAATTTCAAAAAAAGTTGATGATTTTTGTGTAAAAAAACCATTTGATGAAGCAATTGCTTTGAATGCATGTCCTGATATTTTGCTTACTGAGCCTTACAAGGATCAGATCCATCTTGATCTCCCAGCTTCTGATGTGGAAGCACTGGAAATTGCTGAGGATGAGGATGAGTTGCCTGTTGGTTTGAGCGTTGATTCAGGGTCATTGGCATGTGTTGCATGTGGAACTCTTGGCTATCCATTTATGGCCGTCATTCAACCTTCTGTAAAAGCAGCAAAGAGGATTTTTTCCATTACTTGTGAAGAACCTAATGAGAAGTCTGACAAATCATGGTGCTTGATTTCGCCTCCTTGTGTTCAGAATGATCCTTGTAACTTTACTACAGGTAAAAGCTGTTCCACACCTTTTGTTTTCTGAGGGAGTATTTTGGAGTCGTTACTGCAATACTAAAATATGAGAATTAAGTTGCCTGAGCGGTATGAATTGTCTTTATGAATATTTTCTAGCAATATCCTTTTTTGTCGCACCATTGATGATTTTTGGCCCCTTACCAATAGCAATGCATTATTTTTTCTATGAAATATGAAGGAAGTCTTGCCATGACCTATAATTTTATATATTTCAATAAGTTATTCAAAATCTTTAGCAAAAATCTAGTATTTATTAAACCATTGTTCCTCTAAATCCATCCTCCACTAGTACAGTTCTTAAATTGTATTTATTGTATCCAATTTACATATTTTTTGGCATATATCTCAAAAGACTTTCATGCTTGAACATGTGGGCACTTTGATGTGGCCAAACAACCCTATAGTTCTCAATTTTTGTGGTAAGATACTGTAAAAGATGTCCGTAGAGACGAAAGCAAAAAAACTCATGTTTGAGATCAAATTTAGCTGCAAATTTTGTTACATTATCACTCTACTTTGTTTGAGTGCTACAATATGTTCTATAGATCAATAACAATGGAAAAAAGGAGTTTTTTCGTCTTAGAAGGCATTTTTTTTACTTCTGGGGTAGATTTCATTCTCTTTATCTTCATTTTTTTGTTTGGATCTGCTGTCATTTTTGTGAATTTGTCTTACATGTGCCATTGCATAAACAAAGAAGCTAACATGATACGGGTTTTCTGTTGATTTAATATAGAAGAAAGATGCACTAAAGTAGCTGAACAAGGGAATCTTGATCCAAGTTGGCAATTGTTTCCAAAATCAAGCGAAACTATGCAACATTTCAGGGAGCATGATATGCCTCTTCCTATGGATAACGGTTCTTCTCTCAATTATTTCTCTATGGATTCTTTGCAAAATAAGGGAGAAACATTAGACGCAACAGATTCTCAAACCAAGAGCAATAGATGTGTTTTTGACAGTTCTGCCAATACATTTTGTTCCAGTGGCTTGCATCCTTGTGGAAATGTGAAAGAATTTGAGGGGATTTTGGGCACGAAGAATGGCTCTGGGCCTTTTTTTGAAGGTGACGAAGAATCGCATGTTAAAGGAAATGTGGGTGTACCAAAGTGGGATGTGTCTAATGTACTTCTCAGACCGAGGGTTTTTTGCTTGAACCATGCTATTGAGGTTGAGGAACTTTTGCAAAACAAGGGTGGAGGACTTATGCGCATTACATGCCATTCAGGTGAAAAGCCATTTGTCGATACTCCACTGTTTTTTTATATATTTATGTAAATTAATAGTAGTGCAGAGTCCCTCTCACTGTAATTTGTTAAAAATTTGACTGCAGTTGATATAATGTTAAACCCTTCTTTTCATTTTCTTAGTCTGCCCTAGACTTAAAATAGTTATATATCGCACTGTTTAAGTAGTGGGCAGCATGATATTGCTAAAAGAAATAGATTTTACAACAATAATCCTATTTTTAAAAATTACCAATGCTTTGCAACACGCATTCAACTGATTTGGAGACATTTACTGCTGTTTTATTATTTGAAATTTAAAAATATAATAACTGCAAGACATTGTGCTGTGCTGTGGATAAGTTTGCACAATTTGATTCGGATGCATTGCTTGTATTCCAAACTATTATATATATATTTTTAAACATTACATGAAAAATTTTCTGCGTTGAACTAAATTTTGCATGATCTTGAAAGCGATTGGTATTCAGTGTTTATATTTTAATTTGGTTTTGTTGAATAGAAAAAACATTGATTGGGAAGTTATTCTTTGTCGTGTTGTGGAAACTGCCAAAGAAAAGGACAGATCTGTGTGGCATCGGATGTTGTAGTTTAGATTGCCATTTAACATAGTATTTTGTAATTTACAAAATCATTCCTGCTTTTACGTGAATGTTTGGCACATTTATTAGACACTTTGAGGCCCTTTGTGGATAAGTTTGTCGAAGTGTTGGTAGTATCATTGCCGCCATTTAGGATTTCATTTAGCGAGTTTGGTACCCATTTTTGCAGATTTGCCTTGTTCTACGAACGCTTGTTAGATGTACGAAACTTTTCTTTGCTTCATTGGCTTCCATCTTTTTTGTTCTCTGTGATTTAAGCATCATGCCCCTTGTCGATTTAGAAGTTCCTACATTAAACCTACTTCAGAATATCCTGCTTGCGAACTTCTCTGGCAGGAGTCCAGATGTTAATCTTTCAGTATTATGCATAAAACCTTCTCAAATATATATAATCTTACTCAATATGTTTTCTAAGATGTATTTTATCAGTGATATTAATGGGTGCGACATTACTCATTATCACCCAATATTTTTTGAAGTTAGAATGATTGATTTATTGGTCTGTTATACATGAGAATAAGGATGCAGATGAAGATATAATTGTTAGAGGTAGGCTCATGTCTATAGAGTAGAGAATTGTGATAGGAACCAACACAAATTTTCACATAGAAATTAGGACAAACACATATTTTATTGCAAAACATCAAACACTCGAGACGAATACAAAGATAAGCACCTACAATTGTATCTTCCAATTATAATTGGGCTGTTACATGAGAATAAGGATGCAGATGAAGATACAATTGTAAGAGGTAGTCTTATTCTATGGAGTAGAGAATTGTGATAGGAACCGGTGCAGTTTTTCACATAGAAATTTTGGCAAACACATATTTTATTACAAAATTATCAAACATTCAAGATGAATACAAAAGGTTAAACCTACAATTTGAGAAGTTCGCTGTATCTCCCAATATTTACGGTTCGAGAGGTAGGAAATCTCTCCCAAACCCTAAGAATCAAGAACCAATCGTATACCCCCACCTTAAGCCTATTAGGGGTCTGTTTATACTAAAAAATAATAAATAATAAATGATTAAATTGCCCTTTAGTTAATAAAAGACAAAATTGCTTCTAGGCTAGGCCGGCGTAACAATACTCTCCTCTCTAAAAAGTACTCTGTCCTTAAGGTGGATAAAAGGAATCTGCTGCTAGAGTAAGCTTCCCTGCTTCCCCGTCGCACACTGTGAGAACCTGTAATGTCCGATCCTCGCAACTGTGTCCTAAGATAAACTTTTCATCATACAGGAAACATAATCTCTTTGCTTGCTTCTCATGAATCTATATTTGTAAGGCAGTTGAGGTTGACCGCTGGACGGGCCCCCATATTTTCTCCTTCAGCGCCTCCTCCTGAAATGACATTGTATGGGCCCTCGGTCTCTTGGTCGTCGAGGTATTCTTGTGTGATTTTTCCTTGGTGCTGCTTCTATTGGCCTTCTTCATCTGGTTCTTGCCCTCCACCATTTGGGCTAGCTCCATCGTCTCCTCCAATCTCCGCAATCTCAGCAGTCGGAGTGCTGCCCATGAATCGGGCTTTAAACTCTTCATAAAAATTTCCTCCAATACTGCTTTAGAAATCTCCCTCAGCTGTCTTGACAAAAGCTTGAATCTATCCTTATACATCATGATAGGTCTTTGACGAATCAATGCAAAGAATTGTTTGTGTAAGTCTCCTTCCTAAGTGACTCTGAGATGTTCCAACAAACAATCCACAAGCGGATTGGGTATCTAGCCTCCTTCCACTGAAACCATGTTAGGGTTTTGCCCTCTAAACATAACCCTGCCTCCATGAGCTTCTCTTCCTCATTTAGCCCATTCACTACGAAATATCGCTTCGCTCGGTACACCCGACCATGTGTATCTTCCCCTCAAAGATCCACATCTTCACTTTCCTAACTCTAGCATCTCCTCCCCAACTTCCTCTCCCTTCGCCGTTTCCCCTTACGTATCGAGGATAAAACTCCCTCCTTCAATAATAGTCATATTCCATCAATGCTTCTGTCTTTTCTTCTTTGTGCTCCTCCGTACCCCTTGCATAATTTCTTCTCCATGTTTCGGTCGAATCACTTCCATTGAAAATCTCTAATCGACCCTCATCAGAGCCCTAGGAGGGGGTCTTTGATGGTGGATGCTTTCCTCATGTTTCTCTCGTTCAATCTCTTTCACTATCATCTTAGTCAATGCTTAGGATTTGCAAATTGAATCACTAACGGGTTTTGAATTGCATCTCAATAAACTTTCTCCAAGCTATCGAATTGGCCCTCAATTTAGTTTTTTATGGAGGAAAGCTCTCCAAGCTATCGAATTGGCCCTCAATTTAGTTTTCTATGGAGGAAAGCCTTACTTATATGGTGGAGAACTTTTCTTCCAACTTCTCCAAATCATCTACTTTTGTTGTTGTCATTATGCTCTGAACGGTTTCGAAACTCCCTTAAGCTGTGTGATCCCATAGTTGGCTTTCCGTCGCGTTGTAATGGTTTTGGTTAGGTGTGGAGCGTGGGCAGGATAAAGATGGAGTTTCAGGCCTTTGTAGGTAGTAATCCCATTGGCGCCTTCCTAGAAAGCTTTGATCGTGACTGTCGGAAGCAGGAGGAGGTGAAAGATGAGTCTCTGCAAGCTATAGTCCCGTCGTAAATTTTTATCACTGTAAGTCACTCGTTGGAATCAAGATAACGTTGATGCTTCCCAACTAGCTCTTGCCATGACTAGATCGACATATTAAGCACGAAAGATGTCTTTGTACTTCGCTTTCCTCCCCATCCAATGACTATCGCTCACGACATGTCTCACATGCAACAATTTAGTCTATTCTTCGACTCTTCGCCGAATCGTCAATTGGATTCTTATTTGATAGGAACCAACATAGATGTTGACACAGAAACTAGGGCAAACACATTTTGTTGCAAGAACATTAAACACTCAAGATAAATACAAAGATAAGCACCTACAATTTGAGAGGTATGTAATCTCTCTCAATTCCTATAATTCGAGAGACATCAAATCTCTTCCAAACCCTAACCATAAGACTCAAGACTCAATCTCATGCATATCCCCACCCTAAGCCTATTAGTGGTCTATTTATACTAAATAATAATAAATAATAATACACTCAATTGCCCTTAGTTTAATAAAAAATCAAATTGCGCTCAGACTAGGCCGGCATAACAAAGTATATTAGGAATGTTATTTGATAATAGGTGATATACCATTTTCTTGGTCTTCCTTCAAGGTGTTTATGCAAAAGCTGCTTCTCTTTTTTGCCAATTGTCTTCCATCACTATATTTTCTATTTGCTTATAAAATATTTGGGAACTGATTTCTGCTACATGGCATGGTTGTTTACTTATTCTTTCACATTTTCCCACTTCAGATTATCTGAAGTTCAAAGCTTATGCTGCATCTATTGCTGAAGAAATGGGCACTGAGCTCCACTTAAAAGATGTTCCTCTTGAAAATGCATCCCAGGAAGATCTTAATCTAATTAATATTTCTATTGATGAAGAAGAACATCAGGAAGATGGCAAAGATTGGACCTCAAAGTTGGGCGTGAATCTAAGGTACTCTGTCAAGCTTAGAAAACATTCAGCATCTCCTCAAGAACAGCTACCATCAGCTCTTCAGCGAATGTTTTCAAATCCCTCAACTGTTTCGGTTGTCTCAAACCTTAAATGGCTTTGCCGGAAGTCTCGCACACCTGCCAAGCCATTGGGCATCAATGTTGTCAAACCACGGATTTCAGCCACTGTGGAGCGAGGGGTTCAAACTTTTAAAGTGGCAGGTAATGACAATATAAAAGCCATCCAGGTTTACCAGAGCCGGAAGAAGAAAACAAATTATCTGCCTTCTGATGATCACAATCATCCAGGAAAAGAGCTCAGCAGTTGCAACCAAAATTCAAAATTTGTTAGAAGTGAAAATGTTGAAAACTTGTTCACTGTCCCCATTTCTATGATTGAAAATCATGAAATTTCTCAAAATAGCATAGAGAAAAGGAATAGAAGTCCATCAGTTGCTGATATTAGCACAACGAACTTGAGTTGTTTTCATTTGCCCGCCAAGCCGTCTACAGAATCTCATGGCGTTAATGATCGTTGCTTCTCTGGGTTGAATGGATTAAATAATACGACGTTTGTTTCTGTTCCTGTTAATTATCAGTCTAATCAGGTCTACAACAATGCCTTCACATCTATTAGCTCAGTACCGTATGAAGAAAAAAATGCTGGAGAATCTTCCGCCAATTTTGATGGTGGGAGACACGGGAATTTAGAGTTGCAGGACAACACGGTTATTAGAGAATCTAGAAGTTCTGAGACAAACGTGGTGATAGCTCTATGTGAAGGAGAGCGATGCGGCATCATATCGACGGAAGGCGAAATGGATAAAACTGCAAATCGAGCTGTTAGGGAGAGCATGTTGGAAGGTGAACTCATTCACATTTGTTCAAAAACCCCGCTTCTTATGCACGAATGTGCAGTTGATAATTGCAAACCGCAGCATGAACCATGCACGACAAAAGCAGCTGATTTTTTTCCATTTGCTTTGAATATTAAATCTTATGTGCGACGAAAGAACAAACGGAAATGGGAAGTAGAACAACGAGTATCAGAAGAACACATTGAGCCAGAAAACACAGCAACAGTGCAGAACAAATTAAAAATTTATAACAAAACTGAAGGTCAACAAACCAGTAATGGTTTTGCCCGGAGTCCATGCGAAGGCTTAAGACCAAGGAAGGGAAAATTAGAGTCTTTTGTGGCTGAACCTAAAATTTCTGACACAAGAAAACAATCCGAGGTGAAAGATGCCTTTGAGTGCAATATTGAAGGCTGTCACATGGTGTTTAGGACACGATCCAAGTTACGACTCCATAAGCAGAACCGTTGCACATACGACGAATGTCGAAAGAGGTTCAGCCATCACAAGTATGCGATGCGGCACCAGCGCGTGCACAAAGACGAACGGCCTTTCAGGTGCTCGTGGAGAGGATGTAAAATGTCGTTCAAGTGGGAATGGGCGAGGACGGAGCACCTTCGTCTCCACACAGGCGAGAGGCCTTATAAGTGCTTTGTTGCTGGTTGCGGGCTATCTTTTAGGTTTGTTTCTGATTTTAGTCGGCACAGAAGGAAAAGTGGGCATTTTGTTAGCACAAATGGGTCTTAGTCTTTATTTTGCATGTTTTCTTTTCTTTTCTTTTTTTTGTTAATTTTCTAATGTAGCAGCTGATGAATATGAAACTTGTTATTGCTTTTGAGGTTAAGATGACTCGAAAGTGACAATTCAATCCTGGACATAGTTTTAGCTGATGTTAGTGTAAGAGTTGCATGAATTAATCGTTGCAGATACTTCATGTCTTCAATTTGTTTCGTTTGTTTGGATTTTTAGGTATGAAGAGATTATGCTCTTTCTGTTGATGTGCATTCCCATACATTTTGTTTATAGTTTTACTATTTATAAGTTTTTCAGCATATCTTCGAATTAGCATTAATGGCTTGGTGGTTAGAAATGGAAACTATGTGGATTTGGTGATGTTTGATGAGCTTAATTTTTGAATGTTAATGCATGTTTAGAATTGAAATTAATTTTGGAATTATCATTTTATGCATTTTTTAGTAAATGATAAGTTTTGAGTACACGTTTCTTTCATCATTTATGTTTGTAGATTTGTGCTCACCTGGCTGTTAACTCTTTTGATGATGATTTAATTATTTTATTAATGATTTCTTTTATATTCCTTTTTGTTTTTTGTTTACTCTTTTTGGAAGAAAACAGTGAGTTATAACATGAAAACTCAGATTATAACTCGCTCGATAACAAAATAAACATCAAAATCAATCAAACTAACTACAACACCCAACACCACCAGCAATAACTGCCTAAACTGGTCTCCGCCAGCATGAGAACCACGACCAACTTCAACAGCAACAACCCAACAACATCATCAAAACCCATAGATCTCTAAGCATGCAAAAAACAAACAAGAGAGAAGCACAGAACTCAAAAATACAAACTAACAAAATCCAGGAACCAAAAACATGAATAAAAATGCAATAAAACAAAATCATAAAAAAACAGTGGAATAGACCATATGAAACCACCATAAATGTGATGAAGGGATAGCTAATCTGAGCTCAGGATTTACCTGCAAGAAAATATTAGTATTTCCTCCAACATTTATAATATATAAAAAATATATTAAAATATGTCAGAATTTTAGTAATGACTTGAAGTCATCAATTCTCTTAACCAATCTCAGCAATTAGTAAATATCAAAGATGAAATGCAAGCTTATCAAAAAATCAACTATAAGATAGAAACCAACAGTCATGACTCAAAGCTACAAATTAGCAACCCACTAAAACACCCAAGCACTATTAATAAGTGCCAACCGACATATAAGAGAAACAACCAACACCAAATCCAACATCCATAACAAAAATCTCATTAATCTTTTGAATAACCACATAGAGAAAGAGATTGCTCGAGCAACAAACATAAACAGAAGAACACATAAAAAACATGACTAGAATTAATAATAAACAACCAAAAACTTACATGAATAGCTAATACCAATATTTATTTTAAATTCTTATATTAAATTTTTTTGTCTTCAATAAATATTCAAAATTATATATATA